TCTCAGAAAATATGATGTTAGCAATAAGACTGCTTTATTATTGTTGCAATAAACAATTGTCCACAAATTCCAAAATGCAGCAGAATTTCTTAAAAAAACATGCAGTGCTTTCAGAGATGATTTGAGAGAGAATAAATAATTTTCAAGCATTGAAATGCTGCATTAAGTTTTTGACTTCAAAGGTGCAAAAATGGTCAGATTTACCATAGAGTAAACTCTGAATTTACAGACCATGAAACAAGTTGCTCTCACTCCTGTATCTTTAAAAACTTGGTTGAATACAAAATTAAATGCAACTTCACTTGGACTCATGTATAGCATAGGAGACTGTTGTGTCAGCTATGTAAAAATGTGCTAGTCTAGGTTTAATCTGCATCTTAACATGCACACTTTTTGTTTAGTTGCAGATCAATATTATAGAAGTAGGAACCAAAGCATTCCATATTTTAATCTGTGCTGCTTTTCTTTACAGATTATTTACAAAATACAAACAGTCTGATACTTGGACCTAAGAATGTTACAACTAAATTGCTTTTTGAAAATAATGTTATTGTAATACTTTGGAGAAAATGAATTCATGTTCCAAGAAGTAAAGCTGCTTTCAAAATTTTTGTCTTAATATTTCAGAACAGATAGATCTTTTTCCTAGTAAAATCTATTTCTACCAGAGTTTATTATTTGCTGAAAAATTTAGTCCAAAATCAGTTTAAATGGAGAAAAGTCGTTTGTCCATCATTTTAGACATTCTTGCATTTGAACACTAGTTAAATAGCCTAATTAGGTTATTTTAATTTATAAGAAAAAAGATACATGAGAAGTAAACAGAACAGTGGTTATGTTAATCTCCTATATGGTGATGCAGACAGCAATGACAATTTCCAATAGGACAGAATTCCTCTTAGTGTTCAAAAACTTATAATCAGATCAGGCTGAGTAACTCAATAGAGTTCCAAAGGCAAAAATGGCCTATGTGTATAGTCAGAAATATCAGGAAATGCAATTACTGTATAGCAAGAAAACTGTTCTCACCTCTGGCATGTGCTGAAGAGAACATCCAGGGTAAACAAGTAGACTTGAAAGAGCTCTGTTTGGAAGTTGTTCCTGTGATACAGTTTCATTTACATTGGTTTAACAATCAATATTATCAATACCATCAGTACTTCAATTATTTGTTATTTAATGCCTGTCTTTTCACGAACTGTGATAACACTGCTATGTGTTCACAGACTGAAAGAAGAATTTCAAGGTCCTTTCAAATTTTGTGGAAATATCCTGATTGATTATTTCTTACTTCATCATTCGTTGCTACTTCCCAAAAAGGAAGAATTCAAATTTTCTTATCATTCAAATATCAATTATTACTTTTTAATGCTGTTACTTTACACAACCATCCTCATCATCATACTTCTGCTGAATGATCTTTTAATGCTGTTTCTTGTTAGATGCTGCATGTACCTTCAACATCAGTAATTATACAAAGTGGTGGGTCTTTAGAGGGCCTCAGTCTCACCCAAAGATTTTTTATCCACATTCAACAGCTTAGACTAATTGATCAACTGTTCCTTCCAGCTACCACTTCTGCCAATCTTTGTGCTTGGTGTTTATTTTTCTTTTATGTTTACCCTACAGGGCTCTATGAAAACTATCCAACCAATGCAGAACCAGAATGCTGTGATGTCAGATGGGGACTATTATCAGATCATCAATCCAAAGGGACTATAAAAACAAGTGGCTCAACAATGTGTCACAGGACATCGCTCACAGTTTCATCAGCATCAAGACTGTGTAACAGCAGACTTAAACTGTGTGTTCTTGTATTAATTCTCTTACATACAGTACTTACAGTCTCAGCAGCACAGAACTCAACAGGACTGGGCTTTGGAGGCATAACAACTTTGGAAGATAATTCAACCAATGAGGAATGAAAGAAAGGATTCATTTTACATAATTGAAACACAACAGGCCCAAATGACTACAGTCAAAAATAGCGAAAACTGAGTGCTTTACCCTCAGATCTCTTCTTGAATGACCTTTTGGGTAAAATGAAAAGGATGGGCCACTACCCAAACAACAAGGACACATGAGCACAGCTTTTTATTGACTAAAAGGCTGTTTGGTGACTTAAATTTCTCACACCATTTTATACACTGTGTTTTAATGTTTGGAGTTTCTTTTTTTGTTTGTTTTTTTGCACTTGTTAATACAGGATTTTATTTTTGGGACGGTTTCTCAAAGCTAAATTAAGTCTTTTCTCTGTCAATATCTTTCTAGTCATTGTGTGTGTTCATCTGATAGTTCTGTCTTTTATGTCCTGTCAGTTTCTATTAGAGGAATGACTGCTATGATTCCATGACATAGCAGGAAAAAAAAAAAAAAAAAAAAAAAAAAAAAAAAAAAAAAAAAAAAAAAAAA